AAATGTAATAGATTTGATACTGGGTACAGGTAATTCTGTGTGGTTTTCATTCTTATGGAGACACAAGGACCCAAATTTTCACATGCACAAGAAGTTCCTTCAATACCAAGGGCTTTTCTTCTTATTAGCAGGTATAGGCAGAAAAAAAATCATAGTCTTGGTGGGGATTTTTCCTCCTACCTTAAAATGAAAGGGCAAGCAATGCAGTCCCAGTGAAACCAGACCTCAAAGAGCATAGTTCTCCATCTCATCACCACCATCTCAATATTTCATCAGTGCCACTGAGGCAGAAAAGATTAAAGTGTCAGCACCGTGTTCCTTTCTATAAAATGCAACTAAAACTGTTGTTAAATTACGTATCTCAAGGGAGATTTTCCAAGCTGCAAAAATAATTATTGTATTTTCCATTAGCAATACACCAGTAACTTGTCATCCAGGTACTTTGTACAGAAGCAGTGTATCTGAGGTATAATTTCCAGGAGATCACCATGGACTTGACATAGACAGCAAGTACTGCAAAGAAACTGTAAATTGTGTATTTCCAGCAGCCTACACATGATGGATACCCACCACAGAAGGAGTTAACTGCAATCTTTTGCAAAGTCACTGATGATAAAGAGAATTAAAGACTGACCTGGAAATGGGTGAATAAATAAAGGTGGTTATAAAAAAGCATGTGAAAATTACTAGAGACTTTAGGATTAATAGTTTTTAAATAGTCTGTAACATATTAAAATTGCTTGCAGAAAAAACATTTTCTTTCTGAGATGTACTTCGGAGCAAATTTTGAGGAAGGTATGAATAAAAGGCCTTGCACCAAAATCATCATTACACCACTCTGCACCACAGCCATTGCCCAAACCAGACAAAAGTAAGAGGAGAACCTCAAAAAAGCTGTCTTTGCCAGACCTTGAATAGCCTGTGTTTTACTAAGTACAAGTGGTGGAGTGAATTTGTTCTCCCCTTGCACCCAGAACACTGAGTTAGTCACAGTTTGCTTTGTGCAGCATGCAGAGAAGTCACAGAACCTCCTACCATCAAAACCCCTTTGTAATGAGTGATTAAAGACTTCACAGCAAGTCAAGGCTCCCACTGAACTACCACAGCATACCTGGGTGCTTCATTAGAACGATCCCAGTTGAACAAGGTTTTAGATGGGTGGCCACTTTGCTGATCACTAACGTAAATGTCACTCCCTGTGTAACATGAGCAGCTAGAAAGGAGAACTCAAGAATGGCTACTGAAAATCCATTACCTCTAAGAACTTTTCCACAGCTCTCTGTTTTCACCACTGTGTTAAACAGCAATTCAATCCCAGACAACAATACACATTTCTTTCACAGCAGTCATTGTGCCAGCAACACTCATATGTTGCGGAGCTGAACTTGCACTTATTCAGCAAAAGTAAAAGGAGCAGAGCTTGCTTGAATAAACATGTTTAACATGCCATGGCATCAGCTGCTTGTTGCTGGGAGAGAAGAACTGAAATGATACATTTTTCATCCTCCACTAATCCTCTGCTGCAATGAATGACCTGTTAAACACCCATCAAAGCTGACAAGCCAGGAAGGCTGAGATTGTTCAGGTCGCTCTTGCAAGAGTGAACACTGTTAAGTTCAACAGACATTGGCTGCAGTGGCTTCTTAGTATGGTTGCAGAGAGATACTTGCTGCTAATTAACCTCTGGCTGCACGTCTTATACCTCTAAATCGTGGCTGTGACTTTTTCAGGGAGGTGGGCTCTGTGACCTGAGAGGTCCTTCCACTCACAAGCTGTGACACTTGCACATCACTGCTTTGGAACGGTTTGTTTCCAGATAAATGAGACATGAAATCACATTAAGTCATCTCTGTTCTCTTTTCCCTTTTTGTATGTATGTTTTCCTCCTCTGATTAGACACACCCATCCCTGCTCTTTTCCAGGAACGCTGAAAATGGGAAAACAGCAACATTTGCCTCTTTTTCTGTTCACATGACCAGAATTTATTTTCCTCTGAAATACCATTCAACAGACGATCACAGCTCATGGAAACTTGTATAATTGAGTTCCCTGGGCTACTTCCAATATTAGTACTTAGAATATCTTAAGCCAGAAGCATGGATGTTTCTAGTTGAGGCATTAAGGACACTGAACTGTACCAAGTTAATTTCTGTTAAAAGAGCTCAAGGTCAAGAACTATCACTCGGAAGCATGGGATAGATGCAGACGGGTTTTTCTGTCTGTGGTTCAGTTCACCTGTGGGCTCTAACTGAACACTCAAACCCAGGATTAGCTGCTTTTGGTAGTGTTTTTCCAGGCTGGTTGTAAATAGCAGGATTATAACTTTGCTTTGGTTTGTTTTCAGTCAACAGTGATAGCAGAAATCATAGTGCAGACTAATCCAGCAGGAACTTCTCCCTGAAAATGTGCAAGCAAAAGTGACACACACAAATAATTTTCCATTATTGTATTGGTGAGTAAAGTTCATACTGTCTATTATCAAAACAAATCCTAATAGCACTCTGACTTCATCTTTGGGCAGCTCATAACATGGGAATTTGCCTAACAATCTTTCCTGAATAGCTGTGTTTTCTTCCTTTCTTCCTTTATACTATTCTAAAGGAAGAATTGTATTCTCCTTTTTATTTTTCTTTCAGTATTCACCCTCATTGATAGCTACATACTATTTTCCATTTTAAAAATTTTCAGCCCATATTCTTCTCTGTGTGATCATGAATCTGTAGTTTCTGAGGAAAATTCTGCTTGGTGATGATTTTTAGCAGGGTTGCTTCTCCAAAATTACTACCCAAGTTATTTCCCAGCACCTTGAGTCTTCATAGTGAAGGAAGAGGAAAAGGCAGATTACTGGCTTTTCTCTGTCACAAGCCAAAGTAGCAGGGTCTCAGTATGTCTGCTCTTTTTCCAGGAGATGGGTGAGAACACAAGAGAAGTAGAGAACAAAAGTGACTTAAACTCTTCAATGAAGTCTGGCATCCACAGATTTTTCCTTCTTCATCTTTCATATGACATTCATTAGCACTCGTGGTTGCTCCTTTTGTTCCATCTAGTCACAGGCTAAACCTATTGTCCTTTTCTGACCACAGCTTATTCACCCTGCTGCCCATGACAAGGGGTGCCAGGCAGTGGGTCATTATAACCATTCTAAGAAGGAGTTTTAAACTGATGGGTAGATCCAATTAGAAAACCTGTATTCAAATGGCTTCAGAAGAGCAGGAAGCTTGTTATTTTCTGAACAAAATTTTAAATTAAACAAAGCAGGCAATGTGTTTGTTGTCTTCTCATAAATGCAGAAAGTGTCTCACTACATGACATTCTCAGGTTATAGTTTTGCAGAATTGCAGACTATTTCTGCTCATGGTTACTGCTTGAAAAATTAGGTTTGGAGGAATTTTAATTTCTTCCCACATCCGGGTGTCTCCCTCCCTTTCACCCAAAATACACTTAACCCTAATGATTCTTTTTTTGAAAAAGTAGTGCCTTTTGTATTTACTAGAAAGTAACAATTGAATTTTTTATCCTTATGGTCATAGAATAAACTTTTTCTGTTCAAATTCACAAGTAAATTATTAACAGAGAAATTACCTAACAAAGGACAGAAAAATAAAAGTTGTGTCCGCAGGGTTTTTTCTTATTTCATTTGAGAAATACCTTCCTGATATCTATGAATAAACAGTTTCAAAACTCTTTTGTAAAGAAGAGTTAGAAGTGAGACACCTGACCTTTAAAAACACTCAGCTTGAAACAAAAGTTACAGCGTCTAGAAGCCAGAAGTAAAAAAAAAAAAAAAAAGTATCGTAATGCCAGGTGATGGATAAACATATTCCAATGTGGATTTAAATTGTCATGCCATGCCAATATGCTGTCAGTCCTGAAAGATTAGTCTGGCATTGTAAAGATTTTCATCCAACAAAAGTACTGAGAAGTTAAAAGTATGCTGTCTAGTTTTATATCAACACAATGTAGAGTTATATTAAGTAAATATGAAGAAAATTGTATAAGAGGTATAACTATTGACATGGAGGTTTAGAAACAACAAAGAGAGCCTTTTAAAATGTCATTGCATTCAGATAAGAAAACGTATCTTTTATCACTTTAGCAAAAGGGGGGGCAGCCCTCAAAGTACAGTTTCCAAGAAAAACAGACATTAACTCACAGGGAAGAGAAATTTCACCTTTTCACCAGCTTAATCCACACATGTTTTAGGGACACCTGATACTTTTATTTATGTGTTTCATATCCTATTCCCTTACAAACTTTTTGTTAGCTTAAGTAGCACAGCCTGTAAAGGTAGCAGAACTGGCACAATAAAGGCCCTGACACTAAGCAGCCCAAACACGGTTAATGAGTGGCAAACACAGCAGAGGGGACAGCCAGGGCAACCCCAGCCCTGGTCCCCAGCTGTGAGCTTCCCTGCTGGCAGGGGTGCAGGCCAGAGGAGATCCCACAGGAGATTCCCACTCCCCTGCCCACCCATCTCTGAGGCCGAATAATGCTGGGAGGGACTGGCCAAAAACGAGATTATTGTCTCAGGAAGCTTGGCATGGAAAGTCAAATTTTTCATGCTAGTCATGAGCTAAGACACTTCAGCATCTTCCCCCAGAAGTATGTGTTGCACTGCAACAGCTTGGGGAGATGCTGGAAGGGGAGACTTGGAAGTTTTTGTGAGTCTGAGAGTAAACATGTACAGAAAATGGGAAACAAAATTAAGTGTGAGGAAAGATGTGATGAACTCCAGTTGCTGCCATTCCACACTTTCATCTTGAAGTGGTTTTAATGATGTTCAATGACCAACCATGTGAGAAATGCATCTTTGTAGCTGGAGCACAAAACTGAGGGCCAGGAAATCCTCAGTCCTACACCAGGACCCTGAGATGGATCAATTTGTGACTTTGGCTGGCTCAATTAGACTTCCTTTCTCAGCATGTTTGCTTCAACCAGAGAGCTCAGTGATGATCACATCTTGTGGAGAAACAACTTATCCAATCCATATCAGCGCAGCTGAGGGTAACAAATGGCATCGTGACTCACCACTGAGCAGAGAGCAGGTATGTCTTGCCCTCAGTCCCTGGGACTGATCCTGGGACACTGAAATCTACAGGGACCCAAAAGCAGGGCAGAAAAGAAAAGCATCTCTCTCCAGAGCCCTTGCAAGCTTTGGTGGAGCTGATCCCAGTCTGAATGCAGGTCACACATAACAGCAATCTGTGCTCCATTAGATGCCCAGTGCATGAAAAACAGCCTGAGCTACCTCAGAGAAATTCTTAGTGTACAAAGCACAGAGAGCATCAGCCCTGGGCCTCACCAGGGCAGCTACTGCTCGCTGTGTGTCCTTCTGTGCCAAAGGATAGAAGTAGAACAAGCACTAAATGCCACTCTGGACCTGCAGCTCTAGGAATACTGTCTGTGAATTTAGCTCTGCATTCTGAGAAACAAATCTCCATTTCAGCCACCTTCTCCCTGGTCAATTTTTTCTCTGTCTGCCTCCTTCCCTGTCTTCTTGCTTTATGCATGAATGGGGGAACACACAATAAAGTCAAAAATGCCCTGAGTGGGAGTGATGGTGGTTATTAGCTCTTCCTGTGCCCACGCCTGATCCTGGACAATGGGAAGGATCACCAAGCACAAACTTTGGCCAAGCTTTGCATGGAGCTTGCCTCTACTTCTGTTACACTGGGCCACCATAACAGGGCCTCTGCTGCTGTCATCTTGACCCACCAGCACTGCAGCCCAGGAGATTCAAGGTGGGCATGAAGTGCCATACTTCCCTCCCTGTCTCCATGTTGCAGTTCTCCTTTCTCTTTTCAGGGAGAACCTCCAAAATTCAGTTCCTACCACTGCATCTCTAATAATTCCTGCAGGGGAGGAAGCCCCTCCGTATCTAAGTCCCCAAGTTGAATTCCTCAAGAATATTCCTGTTACACACCAGCTGTTCAGGCTATCACATGAGCAGCAGCCTCAACAGCAAGACCAAGGCCTGCAAGGGCAGAGGAAATGAGCAAAGTTCTCACCCTCCACAAGTAATCCTTCCAGACCATGGTGGAGGTTCAGTGGCTCCAGATGCTGTGGGAAGGTTTAAGAGCCACTCTGAGTTGTGTTCAGACAATGAATACCAGGCTGCAGTCTCTGATCTGCTGTGTTTGCAGTGCATTTATCTTTTGCAAGCATGGAATTCAATTCACTGCACTTTCAAAAATGTGTGTTTTAAATAACTCAACCCTAGAAATGTACATGTTCTCATAGTTTCACATCAGCTTTTTTCACAGCTGCTAAAAGCCTTCACACCCCCTTGCCTAGCCCACCTGTGTAAACACTACAAAAGTTGCTCTTTATGAAGCACAGGTAGAGTCTTGCGTCTTGATAATGTGCAAAAAAAAAGGGACAGAGAAGTCCTTTGCAACAGAGAGGGTTCTGCCCCATCCAAGCTGCTGTGCATTAGAGGGTAGCTTTTACACTTCTCTTATAAATTACATTTGTTTAAAAGTATTGCAGGGGACATGCTTGACATTTCAGACCAAACTAATTATTTCAGAGCCTCTTTAAATGCTTTCTGATTAAATGGTATTCCAGAGGGAAACAGATATGCAACTCATTTCCCTTATTCTGTGTTCCCGTTCTGTGCTGAGCAACACTTTTGCATACAAATGCTCCTGTTGATTTCAAAAAGCTTAAGCATATAAGAATATATTCAACACGAATCAAAGGCATTCCTCCTATTTTTCTTTCTAGGTTCAATGAGAGAATGGACATGAATGCAGTGAAACTGGAAAAAGAGCATCACGCTTCTGGGAGAAGTTTCATGGGTGTGATCTGGAAGATGGTCTGAGGTACATCTAAGTACAAGGTCTCCTAATCAGTTCTTCCAGGGTAGGCTCTCAAATTTATTGATTAGTGTTACACATTTGGGATTTACCAGCTTTATGTGCTGTGAACAGGCCTGCTGAAGAGGAACAGCGTGTTATTTGTGGAAATTTAAACCACCAAGCATGTCGGTAAAAGTGTGTCTTCTCCAGAAAGAAGACAAAGTCCCTTTCATGCCACTCCATGGCAGAAATCCTTTCCATAACAACTTGCCACAAAAATGACGATGAAAACTCACTGTCCTTTCATCTTACACCTCATTCTTTATTTCAGAGAAGTCTGGTTCAACAAAACACTGTTCTCTGCAGCAAAACAATTCTGGAGTCACACCACAGCCCCTTAAAGAGCTTTCTGGCAGAGAGTTCATGCACTGTCTTTGGCCTATGTCCAGCAACCTTAACAGGCTTTTTGTGCTCAGGTTTGCTCATGCTTGGTAATGAGAAGACAAATAACTGTCCCAAAGCAGAGCTGCTATTCATCTCCTGTTCCACCTCAAACCCAACCCAGCACCCAAATCTCTCATGCCTGGCTTCTCCACATCACCCATGGGCTGCACGTGGCAAGAGGGTGCTCAGACCCTGAACTGGGAGTTAAAGAAAGTCTATGCAACTTGCTTCCTGCATTGCATGACTGAATCCAAAGGTTTAAAACAGGTTTATTACTATCCAGCTGTATTTTAGATACCACCTTGAGACCAAGAAATTCAACTTGTCTCTTTAGCCAGAGGCAAAAATACTTTAAATGCTATTGCAGAAGAATGTAAAAAAAATTAATTATGGGGAAAATCATGTCTAGCAGGCTTGCTTGTAGGTCTTGTTTAACCAAAGAAAGCAAGCTGTGTCAAGCAACGTACGAGACAGCGTGTTTTAACAACTGCAGACTGGAATGTTACTTTGCCCATGTCATGTTCCAGGACAGTGAGCAAAAGGAGTGAATGTTAATACATCACATTCATTTCTACCCACTTTCTACCCAACTAAGGGGAAAGAAAAGCAATTCGAGCCATAGTCTAGACATCTCCTTCCCTTTATGAGTCCTGGAATCACTGAGGCCTTTTTGCAGAGAAAGGTACATAGCACTGTTTAGAAGTGAAGTTTTTCAGACAGATGTGAGGAGTCACAAGTCAGAGCCTGCCTACACTGTGAGTGTAAGGGTATTGTGATGTTTTACAGTACTCAGAAGCTATTGAGTGATGCAGTGACCCGAGCTGCTTGGATGCATTTGTGGATAGGAAAAAATGCTGGACATATGCCCATTCTTACTTCTTCCTTTCTAATGCATAAGGAAGTCCTGAACACTTTTGCCAGGGAGAGTTGTAGGGCAATTTTCCAGTTTGTTGTGCTCTTCACATTAAGAAAACGTTTTGCACTTTACAGAAGAGTCTGTAAACAGCAACTGAAGTGCTGATTACTAGTGATAATTGGTAGCACAGAGGGTGAAACTGGGTTAATCTGAAACTCTCTAGGCATTTTTAGTATCATTCATACATATGAAAAAGAAAATACATCTAGGTAATGAAACAGCACAGTTGTACCTTCAGCTGCTGGCCAACAGTGGTGCTAACTGACTTTTCTGAAGTTCTCAGGAGGATTGACAAGGAAATCAGGGCAAGAATCACTTGGCAGCCTCAAGAGTCCCAGGGTTAAAAAAGAAAAGCCATGGAAAGTCAACCTGTAAACAGTTTCAGTTTCTCCTAATACATTGGAAAGAAATAGCTTTCAGAAAATGTCTTTGACATGATGGTATATGTGGCTATATCTAGCTATATCTAGCATGATGATCACTTACTTTCTCCTGATTAGAACCCACCTTTCCTCTCTGTCTGTTCTTTTTGAAGCACTGCAGGGAATGGTCAGAGAAAACAGCCACACTCCATTTGTGCTGTGTTTTTCACATCAGAGTCCTCCCATAGCCAGCACACACTTCAAGTGACAGGATTTCACCCTCAGCCTTCAGCAAACTGAAGGCATACATGTTGCTTGTATAAAACCTTCAATTTTCCCCACCCACATTTACAATGGCACTTGCAGAAGAGAAATAACAAAATGAAGCAGGAGCACCTGTTCCTAGAGGAAGAAGTTGTAACTGCCTGTTATAAACCAATCAAGATAATTTAAATAAATGAACTTGTTGTAACTAGTAACAATGATTAGTCAGCCTATTTTTATGGTCTGTGCTTAACATCAGTCTTAACTGCACTGTGTAACTTTAAAATAAAATCCTGTCTTGGTTTTATAGACTCAGTTGTATTTATGCTAAAAGGCAGGTAAGTGAAAAGGAGTATCCCTTGCTATTCTTTAACTAGGGTGCTTACTCAGCTCTGCTGCAGGCATTTCTGAGGCATATCAGCAGCTAAAGAGCTTCGGTGACTGAGACCTCCTTTGTGCATTTCCTTTATTCCTGCATATGCACACCAGGAATACGCTACAGGACAGAGTGTCCCTAATGTCCCTGTTTGCTGAAGTTGTTGCTGGTTTTTTTATATCAGTGCTCTTTTTGAGCTTGGTCTCAGGTTGCACATGTCAACAGTATTATATTTGCAGCAGGTTATTTAACAGGGTCTCTTCACCACTGGTATTCTGCAAGCCAGGAAGCAACTGGGTGAAAAGTACAACATGTATCTCTGCCCCCTCAGAGTCCTTGAAAACACACACCAGTAGGATGTTTTCCTGTCCTACTTTATCTCGAGTCTTCTTTGCATCACACACACACACAGACACTCACACACAGACACTCACACACAGACACACACACAGACACACACAGACATTCACACACAGACACAGACACGCACAGACCTAGAATGTGGACTATTAAGAGTGAAGCTGTGAAATCCTCCACTCCTACGGTTAACGAGCTCCTGTTAAAATCAGAGGCGTCATCTAGTGGGCATTGGGAGAAGTAGGGATGCGGCAGGCCGCTGGTGGCTGCTCCGGGAAGGCGTAAGCAGTGGGTCGGAGCAGGGATGCAGGCAGCACCGCTCTGCGGCCAGCGGAGGAGGGCAGCGAGGACGGAGGGTGGCGGTCACATCCATCCCAAACACCGGGAGCTGCCGCAGAACGGGCCCGATTCTCTGATTTGAACTGCGAGTGTGGTAAGGAGTCAGCCCCGATTCACATCTGATGTAAGACTGAGAACAGATGAATTGGGGGGAAAAAAGACACCCACCAGATTTGGATGGTGTCTTCAAAAAGAATGTAAGAGAGGAAAACACTATTCTCCATGGTAGCTGGGAATTCGTGGTTTGTTGTTTTATGAATGCACAAATGGTGAGCGGATGCAGAGAAAGCAGCGCTTCTCGGGGTAGATCATCACCTAAGCAAACTACTTAACTTTGAAAGAAAAGTCATCAATCTTTTCAGTGTTTGTGCAGAGTAAACGGTGGCTTCATTTGCAGCTATATATTGTCTTTCCAGTCTGTGTCCCCTCAAGCATCACGGCATCATTATTCATAATACAGTTATATTGGATGGCAGTAGCAGAAGTTGTTTTAAAACTGGCCAAAGATCATCGTAGGATTCAGACAGCTGTGCTTTCAGCTCTCAGTTATCAGCAGAGGGAAGCAGTCTGTCTGTTCCCAAATTTGAGCTTCATTACAGCAGCAAGCAAAGCTGATTGTGATGTTAATCACCATGAGAAAATGCCTCTGTAAAGAAGGGGATGCGGGCTGTAAGCTGGCATTACATGTAATTACTGTGCCCCTGCATAAAACATGAGTTTTAAGCAGCCGTGTGGATGCCATCAGGCTGGGAACGTGTCTGCAGTGCTCACACAGGCCAGTCCGTGAGCTCCTGGTTCACAAAAACAGCTGTGAAGGGTCAGGGAAAACTCACTGGGCAAGAGTACTAGAAAGAGATGCAGTTAGCAGTTCCACCCTGCAAATTGTGCCTTCATGTATTCTCATGACCCATGCCCATTCACATGGAGGCACTCTATTTGCTAAAGTCAGATTATTTGTGATGTGTAGGAGGCTCACTCACACCTAGCATGAAAAGCTCATAGTGGGATGATAATAGAATGAACTCAAGTCCTACAGCCTCAGTTATAAGAGACATACATTATCAAATTTGTACCAGAGTAATACTACCAAACAGAAGAAAGTGTTTGTCAGGGAATAAGACAGGCATTTTAGTAGGCTTAAGGCTCAGTTGTGGCTCAGCTGCGGCTCAACTGAGCACAACTCGGGAGTTAGAGAAAGGTAGAATCAGCAGCCTTTGAGTGAGTAAACACTTTACCCAGAGTGTTACAAAGAAGTAGTTTAGGTCACTTAGAGAACCACTGTCAGAGATATTAGCAAAAATGGTTTTAATATGAATTTTTAAAAATGCAGATTCCCAAAATGCAGATTCCTAAAATTTGATGGCAACGTTTTGATGGTTTGATGGTTTAACAGTTTGATTAGTTCTATTACTTGCTACATGGATGAAACATAGAAAGTCACATTGAATTAGAATAAATTTAGACCAGAGACACAAAAGAGTTATGGAGACCCTTCCAGTAAGTCATGAAATTCAGAGTGGGCCTGTTATATTTTAAACTGTTACATTTTAAACTGAACATAGGTACTGGTAGGTCCAGTCTTATTCTCAGACTTCAACAATGGTTTGACCTAAAGGATGCTGAGTGCATACATCACAGGGGGGAATAAAAGGCTTGCTAGGGAGTGTGTTAGTCAAGCAGCCTATAGGCAGCATACAGGTGGAAGCAGAGGAGCACCTTTTGGCCCAGCACAGAAGCCCTTGCAGTAGTGATGCCAAGATGATTTTTTACCTGTTTTTTTATAACTTTTATATATCCTTGGTATTCTTAGCATGCATACCTGTAATTCTCTAGAACATATCCTGTAATCTAGAGACTTGGCCTATCCAGGGGGGAATTTCTCAGGGGAATATCACACCATTCATCCAGGCCTTCCATTGGGGCATCTGTGTTAATTAATTTGTAAGGTCCATAAATTGTATAGGCGAACTGTCATGGGTGTGCACTGCAGCACATCCCACCTTGGGGAAATGGTGCACCCATAAGGATCCTGATTGAAATACCAAGGTAAAAAACCCTTATCCCTTAACCATGTCTGCCTCTCAATTTTTTAAGACCAGGAAATAGCAGCACTAGGAACCCACATAAAAGATATTAAGATATCTGTGATGAAGGCACTTGATGGATGAAATATATGGATGTGGGAAAACATGGCCAAGGAGAACTGGAAGGCAGTGTTGGAGGGTGGGCACATGTGAGGAATAAGTAGCTGTGAGACTAAAAAGGGGATAGAAATTTCAGGGAATATGTGGTGCCTCAACCATGTACTGGCGAAGAAAGTGCTCATCAGCAGGGAACTCATTAACTGCTGCCATAACAACTCCTCAAGCACATCTATGCAGTCAGGAAAGACAGCTCTTGGGAAGGTGGTTGTGCTCCTTCCTCTCTCTCACTGACCAGCAGCATTAGCCTTGTGTTGTACAGAAGACACGGGTTTCAAGTTTGTCTAATTTCAAGTCTGACATATCCCATCTCTGGCAGCTTGGCACTTGCCTGCTCTGTCAGCCAAGGCAGTGTGAGCACTGTGAGCAGGGGGAGCACCTGAGAGACAGATCCTGCTCTGGTGCTGACTGCCTGCAGAGCACAGAAGAGTCAGAGGTTCATCAACTCAGCTGGGATTTATTAGCTGCTAGGAGCATATCCACAGATGCCAACTACAAGCCCAAATTACTACAGTTTGTCAGTTCCTTTGCCTAGTTTGCTGGTGATCACTCCAAAGAGAACCACTAAATTTTCTGCTTCAAGTAGAGGAACTTGCAAAGGTGTGTGCCCCTAGCAAGGAACATGTGGGTATTTCAGGTTGGAGAGGGAAGCAGCAGGCTTAGATAGTCTCTGACAACATACAGAAGAGACTTTCAGGACCAGGAAGATGTCAAAGGAGCGACCATGAGGAGTTTATATATAACTCCTTATCTAGGCAGTAATAGGGCTTGAACAGCAGGGATGTTCTCCCAGCTATGTTATCACTGCACCTTAACTTGAACTTTTCCTGCACTTCAGACCTATTTAAATTTCTCTCCCTGTATCTTTCTAGTCCCATGCTGTGGCACCGTTAAAGCACAATTTGTGTTTACTATGGGAGAAATAAAGCAAGTAATCTTAGCCCACAGCCTGATACCTGTGCTAACAGACACAAAATTAAATTCCTAGCATAGATACTTAATTTTTGACCCTCTAATCTTTCTAGACAGATTATTTGCTACTCTTTTTCTGCTGGCCAGCTCACACAGGGAAGAATGAGGGTACCCTTCATGCCTTAATACAGTATGTGTGCATACAGCTTTCCTAGAAGTGCTTTTAAACACTTCCCAGTCTTTCACCCAGAAGGTGACCTGGCACACAGTCTCCCTCAAGAGCCCTCTAAGAGTTATTTTTGGGCACAAGACAGTTTAGCAGTCTAGCTCCATCTCTATACTTTGGTATTTATCATGTTTTGAGCAATTAACCTGTTTCTGAATGTAGCTCTGTAATAAAGAGCCTTCAGAGTTTATCCTTTTCTGCTAAGGCTACTCCAGCTGTACAAAGTGAAGTATGGAAGAGGGATTTGTCTTGTCAGACTCCTCCAAGAAATGTAGAAGGCTGTAGAAAAGAAAGTGGCTTCAGCAATTCCTGTATCCTACAAGAAAAGGATGTTCAGGAAAGTGAGTAGGAAGCTGAGAGCAAAAAGAGGATGCTCTGTACACTGAAAAGGAGTCCACAAATCAATATTTAGGCTTTTCAAATTTTGTTTTAAACTTAAGCACCTATACACCCTCCTGTTATCACTTTAAGTCT